GGGGGGGAGAAGGACCTTCAAATGACTCTAATTCAAGGCCAGGTTTGCTTCCTGGCAACAGGCATCTAATAGCCTTGGTTTATTATTGCCCCTTTTCAATGCCACTTTTGTTTTTCTCTTTCAAGTATCATTTCCATCCATAATGGTCCCACTGGCCCGGATTTTGCCCAATAAGAACCGAGATGAACTGAATGGCTTTTTTAACAAACTCATTAGGAATGGGATTGCCTTGCGGGACCAGCAAACAGCCGAAGAGGTAACATGTTTTAATAGGACACGGCTTCGAAATGGAATGGAACCTAATTTGGCACCACTGTCTCGTTTCCCTCCCAACTCCGCGCACCACACCATGCAGCCTGGTAGTGCTCTACCACTTAGAGCTTTCTAGGGGCAGGAGAAAGGAGGAGCCAACAAGAAACAGAAAGCGAGGGCAGGTGGGAAGGACGGTGGGGAGAAGCCCAGAGCAGTCTGTCTACCCTCTGACATGGGCGAGTAGAGTTAAAGCTGCCCCCACTCCCCCGCACCAAACTCACAGCCTATTTCAAGCATCACCCCCCGCCCCCAGCACAGGTTATAACAGCGCCCAAAAGAATTTTCTAGGTAAATGTGCCCACGTGTACTTTTCATGAGCATATTCTTTATATTGAAATATGGCAAGAACGGAGTTTTACAGCATGAACAACAATATCAGGGAGGAGTTTAGGCAGCTGTCACCACTTTCACATTCCCTTTCAGCACCCAGGATGTTGCTACAAAACGTGTCATGGGGGTGGGGGGGGGTGGGGGGGGATCCTCTCCTGCTTTATCTGAGACCTAGAGAGGTCTTTCCTCCTTACAGACTTGCACTGTGCTTGGCACATAGTAGGAAATGAGTAAATATTGCTGACCGAACTTGGCTAAGGGTAGAAAGAGGAATTTTCACTGTCAAGGAAAATAATTTCAATATTGCACATTCCAAGCTACGCTTTAAGAGTCTTGCTGCATTCAAGAAAGTTACTTAAGAGGAAAAACAAGGCTGACATGTCATATCCCCAATTGACGTGGGCAAAATGGAGCTTTCAAAGCATTTCCTCAAAGGCTGGGTGGCTCAGATGGATTGACCAGGAAAGGATCTGAGGTCCAATTGTTGCAGCCTTGGCCGAGAATGAAATCGGGGGATCAAGGAGTGGCCGGGTGCACGGAGCAGTCTCGGGCAGCAGTCTTGTCCGGCCCAGCTTTGTCATCTGGAGCCTGCACAGAAAAGGTGTCCAGGCCAGAAGGCAGGGAAGGTGTACACAAGCGCATGGCCCCTCAGCGCACACCATCATGAAATCGACTTGACGCCCTTGAGATGTGGGAAGAATCAGCTCCCTGGAATCCTCGGCCTGGCTCTGTGGCCTAAAAGGACAGAACACTCTGACCCAGGTTCATGCTTCTCCAGAGTGAGGCTGGAGCCTGGGGAAGGAAGGGTGAGGAAAGCCCCATTTTTCCAACCTCAATGTTTGCTATAAAGGGCTTCCCAATGAGCATTTGGTCCCTCACACCCCCGCCCTCCACCCCACCCCAGCCTGAAACCCACTGGCTATGGAGTCAGGCTGAACATTCTAACGCTGTTGCACCGAATGGCTTACTAAGAGGTGAGGGGTTATTAAAGATCCAATTACCGGGATTGCCTCAAGCTTTTCCTTTTATAAACTCGGAAAGCTATTTGTTTCAAACAATGAGTTGATCTGAGAAAAAAAAACCTCCCAACCACAAATCCAGGACTGCCTGTGTCAAGACAGAGCTATACGGTTACTAAGAAAACTTGCTTGAAACCCATCTAAACTCTGTAGACATTCCATCAAGCAGATGTGTGTTTGTGCAGTGGAAAATGCTGCACAGATGTTAAAAGGTAAATATTTTTCTAAGCTCTAGCCGATGGGTGGATTAGACACCTACATCTATCAGAGTGCGTATTTTTCTTGGATGTGACCATAAACCAGCACTGTTTCGGGCCTAAATGGGCAGTGTTCAAATAGCCTCTGTGATGCAGTGCAAATAAAAGAAACCCATCTGCGCTAATCTCCTCTCCCGGCACCGGCCCTAGAGAGCAGCCCTTTCTGGCTTCTATAGCTAGAGGTTACGACAGATTTCTATGAGACTCGATGGCCCAGTAGCAGTCTGTCTCGGCTGGGAAGAGAGGAAAGGATGCCAGCTACAGTTCTGCCACTGGAAAATTCCAACAGTGCGAATGTGGCTGTGTCTCCCCTTCCATCATCACCCTCATCTCACTCCAGCAAAGCTACAAGCAGGCCTCAGGGGCCAGAACTCGATCGTACCCCTAGTAGTTTCAAACATGCCAGCCGAGAGGCCTGGGCATGCTCTGAGGTCCCGGGTTGGCATCCAGGAGCTGAGGTGGCAGAGGGTACTCACCTGCCACACGTGCCATCGTGCCCTGCCCTGTCCTGGCTCTGCCCCACGGGACCAGAGCTAGCACTGGGGCCACAACCCAGGTGTTGACCAAGCAGCAGGAAGGAGGCTAGGGAAAGCCAGCCATTGAGTAAGCAGAAGGAGCAGAGCCAGGGCGGAAAAGGCAGCCAGCTTGGCTGACCTTGTGCCTTTCTCTCGGCTATTACAACCTGAGCAGGCTGGCAGGATGCTGAGGCCCTGCCTCCTTAATGTCAAGCTTCTTGACGCTCGGGCTTAGCTTTGAGCCCTTGCTGGCATCTCAGCAGATACCACCAACCTGTGAAGCAGAAGAACTGCAAAGGTCTCATGATCCAAGGTTCCTGCCCCAAATGGCATCAGTTAGGGGCAAATCCAACACAACCTTTCTCAGGATGCACCTACTGCATTGCATTATTATTTGTGGAATTGTTTCCTGCATACCTAACATGCGCCCAGCACAACCCCAGACCCAGGGTAGGGGTGGGGCACGGGGTCCTTCCTGCCCTGGAGATGCTTCCACTCTTATACAGGAAAAAATTCCAGCCTTAAAGGATGGAATTATTCATGCAATAGAAATCCAGAAGCCAGTGAATTGAGAAAATGCTGCAACAAGTCATATACTTCGAGATTATAACATTTTCCGTTGGTGGTTCTGATACTATCCTTTTGCTGTTTAATTCCACAAACTTCAGAAAAGAGTAATATGTTGGTTGTCACTCATCACATTAAAGAGCTTTTCAAGGAAGAGATGTGCCAGGGACATACTCTGTCAAGGCTCAAGCAATATGTAAACGCTTCTATGGTTACAATTAGCGATCATAAGACTATAAAGAATATGCAAATTACTGATAAGGCAGGCAGGGGGACATGGTGAGATAGCTCTAACCACTTAAATGGGGTAGGGGATTACTGAGATAAAAAAGGACCTGACATGAGGAGGCAGGCTAAGGGATGCAAAATGCAGATGGGAGACTTTGAAGCAAGCGTCACCAAAGCTAGCTCCCTCCTCTGCCCTCAGGTTCTGTTAGCTTCCTGCTTTGTGAGGAAAACATGGCTGCCCACAGAAGCCTTGAAATGGTACATGTGAGCAATGGCGCATGTGCGTTGACTTAAACCTATGTCATGTTTTAATCGTTGGAAAACCAACCAACCAACCAACCAACCAACCAACCAAACCAAACAACAGTACAAACACGGTTAAAGTAGAAAATAAAAGGCCCCGGGTTTCCCCACTTCCTCCTGTGAATGTTGAGTATGGAAGTTGCTAAATGTTTTCTATGCTTATGCATGGACAAATATATGTAATTATGTATCTTGTACACTTACTGCTTTTATGGAACTGTGCATACCCCTCTGCAGCTTGCTTTTTTTACTTACCAAAATGGCTTAGCATCTTTCTGACTCAGCCCAGCTAGAGCGGCTGTGTTCTCTTCAATGGCAGCATCACAGTCTGCCATGTGCTGCAGCAGTCTGAGAACCAGTGTGTGCCGAGGGATATTCAGGGGAGTTCCAGTTTCTCGTCATCTCAGATAACCCCGCAATGAGAATCCTTGTTGCTATCCTGTAAAAGCTGCACATGCATGTCTTCTGTTATGTTCCAAGCCCCACTTATGCAGCCCTGGGGTCAAAATGTACATTTCCTTTTGTCCCTTAGAGAAGGAGAGACTTCCTCCAAATGGTCCTGGATGCCCGACATTCCGCCCCCTCTGTGGGCGTGGAGAGCTTTGACATCGTCAGACAAGTCTTCTCCTCCACCGACTGCTCAGTGAATCCTTCCGAGCCCAGACGCCTATCCAAGCCTTTGACTGTGGATGAGGTTGTGGGCCAGGCCTTCCTCTTCCTCATCGCTGCCTACGAGATCGTCACCAACACACTCTCTTTTGCCACCTACCTACTGGCCACCAACCCTGACTGCCAGGAGAAGCTTCTGACAGAGGTGGACCATTTCAACAAGAAATATGTGAGTACAAGTTGGGCCCAGTGGTCCATGTGAAATCCACACAACTAATTTTGTGTGTTCATCGAGATGAAACTTCCTGTTAATAACTGCCTTGCTAAAAACACATTCTAAGTTTACAAGACGAAATAGGGCCACTGCCCTCCCTCTCCATCTCTCTGAGTTAGCAAATAAAATGGAGTGTTCAGAACAACAGGAAATAGAAAAAGGAAGAAAAGTAAAATTGTGTACATGCCTGTATTGTTTGGAGTGGTTCAGGAACGCTGCAAAGTCCTCGTGAGTCAGGGTCAAATGTCAGGGAGGGGGCAGGAGGTGTGGCTCCCCAGTGCTCCAGGAAGCAGGTCTGATCCAGAAAATGGAGCCTGATTGGAAGGCAGGAGTGGGTATAAGGATGGGCCAGGCAGAAGCAGGAGTGACGACTGCGTGAGCACGCAGGAGGTCCATCGATGGACTCAGGTGAGAACAGGGCCAGTCGGCACCGAGTCCAGATTCTGGATCCTTCTAGATGAGGTCCCTCGTTGGTGGACTTGAAGCAAACTTTCAAGGGTGCTGAGTTAGGCTACTTCATCACACCGTGTTTTTTTTCTGGATGCTTATGTGTGTAGTGTGCTTTTGACTTACTAGTTGTTAAAAAAAAAATCATTTCTAAAATTTGTGTTTTAAAAGGAAGACCACCATAATAGAATCCTTTCTAGTACATGCTGATGTAATTATTATTGGGTTGTCGAAAAAAGTCATTTTTTTCTCTGTTTTTCGTTGCAAAAATGTGTCATGACTTTTCCGACAACCCAATACAGTCACAATTTTGGGAGGTGGCCTGTTCTGTCATTGGAACTATTAGAATTTTTTTTTCCATTATATTGAGCTGAAAACTGCTTCCCAGAAAATTCCACTTCTTCATCCCACCAAGGAAGTAAATGCAACATTTGCCTTTCTTTTCCAATGTATGAACTGTGTTACCAATGGCCTCAACTTAAAGTTCCATGATGTTACGACAACTGCCAAGCCAGGTCTCCCCAATGCCCTGCTTGTACAATTGATTCGTTGAGCCTAGATGCAAGAGTTTATATTTATCCTTATTATTGCTCAAGTCAGTCAAAATAATTTTGAATCTTGATTCTGCCATCTGTCATATTAGCAATTCCTCCAGCTTTGTATCATCTGAGACTTGCTAAGCATGTCTCCTATTTCATCCAAGTCATTGATTAAAATGTTGAACAGGACAGGGCTTTGCTCCAGGTTGACATTGATCCATGAATCGATATTCTTTGGGCATGGAGTCTCAACAAGCCATGAATCCAAATCACACTACTGCCCGCTCCCACCACCTATCATATCCTACTTGATTGGTAGTCGTGTGGCTTTTATATTTGAGGAGGGGGAGATGGAAGGACCGAAGATGATAGGGGTATATTACTACAAGAGAAATAACGGGAGCTGAAAGGCATATCTGTTAGGATGTATTTGCTGGCAGGTAACACAACCCCAAGCAAAACTGATTTAAGGAAAAAAGGGGAGCTTTTTAGTACAGATAATTGAGCAGCTCAGTAACAGGTGTGGCTTCAGGCTAACCTTTATCCAGGCCTCGGTGATGTGCTCAGGTCCCAGCTCCCCAGTTCTTGGCTGTGCTTCCTTAGTCCTGGCCTCATCCTGAGCTGTGCTCTCCTCTCAAAGCCCCATGCAGCCTTCCAAGAACATTTGGACAACAGGCTTCCTTGCTCATAACCAATGGAGACAAGAGAGTCTGTGGCCCCAGCTTCTCAGCAAGCGTTGTGAGATTCACTCTGATAGGAACGCTTAGGTCACTGCCCACCCTTGAAGCAACTATTGTGGCCAGAGGAATAAAGATACAGATGGCATTAAGCCCATCAATTCACTCCCGCAGTCAATCATACTCAAATTACATGACTGAGAACTTGGGAGAGAGCCTCCCAGATGAAGCTCCTGCTGTTATTCCAGGAAGGCAGTAAAGGCTGGTCTCAAACAAACCAGAAGGCAGGTCAAACTCAAGACTTATGCCTCTAGTGAGTGCTCAGCAGTTGGCCGATGTGGCAGTGGCTTAGAGAAGGGACACCAGCTCTAACAGGTAGAAATCATGATCCTCACCTTCAGGACATTCCATGGCCAATTGAAAAACAAGAGCTTAGGTCTACTAAAACAATACCGCCTTTCCAAATACAACCCTCTGGGACAATAGAAAGTAGCAATTAATCAAGTCTAGAATGTGTGGTGTCGTGTAGAGAGCATGAGGCTCTAGGAGTCTTTCCCACCAGCTACATCATAACTACATCTGGTTGCGTTCTTCTCCAGGGAGGACCCAGGGAGTGTTTCCGTAGGCTTCCCATCAAAGGCCCTCCCAAGCACAGCCCCTCCCCTCTGACACGGCCTTACCTGACCGTGGCCTCAAGAAGGATGACACTATCTTACCAAACCCTGGCCTCCTTCAAATCACCCCAACCTAGGATGGGGGCTTCTTTCCCCAGAGGACCACCTGTCGCAGGGCTACGCAGAATATTGCAAAGCACTGAGAGCCCATGGGCAAAAAAACTCCCAGATTTTAGTAGGTAAAGTTTTTCAAACTTTAATGTACATAAAATAAAACCATCTGGGAAAACTTTAAAATGCATATCCCAGAGCTCCACCCTCTGAGATTCTGATCCCATAAGTCTGGGCCAGGGCCTAGGAACCTGCATTTAAAAATTAACATCCAAGGCGATTTTGATGCAAGTTGTCCCTAGTTCCACTTTAAGAATACAGCCTTAGACCGAGGGTCTTTTGTTTCTTAGCATAAAGAAAGCCCTGCCCCAGGATGCATGCCCCCCAGGCCGTTTTCTTTCTCTAGGTAACAATTAGGACTGTGCCTGAGAAACGGGAATACATAGAGTGTACCTTTTAAAAAAAATAAATCTGGTAGTCACAATACTGTTAATAGTTGTATAGCCTTGCATATGGTAAGCGCTCGATGAATATCGTAGGCTCTCTTTTTTTCCTTTTTTTTTTTTTTAACTATAATCAGAGTTCTGTTAATATGGGCCATCTGTCAGGACATGAAGGTGCAGATTATACGTTCACACATTAGATATTTTCCTGAAAATTTGCATGTAAAGTACGACTTGTTATCATTTCCTGCCGGTTCCCGTTCGACAAGTATTTCTTGAGTGCCAGTTCATGCCAGACTTGGGCTCCAGACGCTATAACCCAAGGATGTTCTGACCTGGCTCTTTCACGATGTCCCTGTCGAGTCCCACACAGCTCATTCGGTGGCTTTCCCTTGCGTTTGTCAATGAGATCGCTGGATTTGAGTTCTAGACTTTCTTTCCGAGTCGTATCCTTTTATGGCAACGCCCTATGAGAATCTGATGAAAGCTGTGTCAGGAAAGAGTGTATATGTGCACTGTGTTGGTTAGGATTCTTCCTGTTGACGGCGTTAGAAAGTTCAAACCAGACTGGCTCAGGTTGTTTATGGCTCACATGTAGAAAACTCTATAGCGAGTAGGGCTGCTTTCAGGTATGGCTTGATGCAGGGGTTCAAACTCGGGCACCGGGAGGGACCCAGGTTGTTCTTTCTCCCCATCTATCAGCTCCAGTCACTCTGGGCACACTCCATTCTGAGGCGGGATCTCCCTCAGGGGCCTCAAGACAGCTATGGAACCATTATGTTAAACAATCTGAACTGAGATACAAACATGGAACCGCTTTATATTTTCTCCAATGATTTCTTTTAAATGTGCTCTGACAAATCTCTGTTCTTTGTCCTTGATGATACCTCAGACAGATCTCAAAAGTCTCTGGCTACTTTTAGGCATTAAAAAGTCCAGACCAGGGGGTGACCGGTTAGCTCAGTTGGTTAGAGCGTGGTGCTGATAACACCAAGGTTGCCGGTTCGATCCCCACATGGGCCACTGTGAGCTGCGCCCTCCCTAAAAGAGTCAACTATGCCATTGCAGCATGAAAGCAACGTGTAACCAGTGACCATGGCTGTTCCCCAATAAAAAAATTTTAAAAAGTCCAGGCCAGTCTGATCCAGTTTAAAACTTCAGTCTCAGATCCAATTTAATGCCCTTCCGTCCCCTTAGCTCAGGCTGACCTGCAGCCTGAGGAAGCTGCCCTGGGGTGGGGTGTCGTCCGTCCTCCACCCTCCTTTTTCTCCTCTCATTGCCCCTGTTGGATCCTCAAAGCCCTGTGACTGGAAGTAGGAAGAAAGGCTGCTGGGTGGCCACACACCAGTGTGTCCACCATGTACACAGACTCCGTGGTCCACAGACTAGAAGCTCCCACTTACAAATTTCTTGTTATGCAACTGCACTCACTTTTCCTCTGAACATTTAAAAACTACCTTTCCAAAGTCAGAGGTGTAAGCCCAACCGCGCCTTGCACTGCCTGTTCTTTTGTACTTCTAAGTGATGTGTGTGGCTTGCTCTTATGCACTTCTTATAAACGATGCAGCCACTTCATACCAAGTGGCCTGTGATTTCCACAGAGCCAGTCACTACTTCCTTATTAGTTCGCATGGGTTGACAGGTGGCCTTCGTGCATCCTTTCCCAGACAAGAGGTGACACTGTCAGTGGTGAAAATTAGTAATTCAGGTGCTCACTTCTGGCAGAACTGAACTTTTGGCATGTATAAGGATGCTCCAAGGTCTTCCTTCACTATTGGGTGTTATCTTATACACATTTTACAGCTCCGACCACCCCATCTCTCACCACCTGTTTTGACCCAAGTGGTCTTGATTGCCTTTCTCCTTCCAGGATACAGATTTCTGTTTCAGTTTATAACACGCTTATAATCCATTTTTATAATTCATGCCTCGAGGCTGTTTCATTACAAAGCCACATGTTTTCTTCCAAATCATCTGGCTTTGGAATTTTGTCTGGCTTTTCCTCCTCTCATTCTGCCATCAAAATTCAGCTTACAACCTTCTTTCTCGAGTCACCCAATCTCTTGGAGAGCTCTCTCTTTTCCCCATGTTTTCTTAGTCATATTGAAGGGGAGGGACGTTCAT